CCGAATATTTCTACACGTTCAATCGCATGAATTTCAGGCAGTGGACCTTTTTCAGAAAAAGAACAATTCTAAAAGCTTACCTAATTTTCTATATATTGGCAATCTGAAATTGCGCATATTGGGATATTGTTGTTGTTTTGCCTGTCCTGCTCCTTTTTTTCGAGCTCCATTTGTACTTGTCACGCAGTGTCAAAAACATGCAGAGATGAAATTTCTGCCACGTTCTTCGTTCCATCGAAAACGGACATCCGTTTTAATTTCACCTCGAAAGCCTTTGGCTTTCTCTTTCTTTTTTATTTATTTCTTCAATTTCTCGCACAGAGGGGACAGAAGTATAAAAGTTGTTTACTAGATTCGACGTCGAGGTACGTGATTTTTAGAAAAAACGATAAATAATATAAGAATTATAGAACGTATTGTATTTTTCAAAATTATATTTTTCATTCAGAACAATGGTTTTCAGAACAATCATTTTCTTCGACCATCGATAATAGTTATGCAGTCTTCATTCATAATGCAAACGATAAGATAGTCGATGGTTGTCGAAGGAAAATGATTTGTCGTTATTGGCCGTTATAAGCGCATTATTCGGAAGTGAATATGCATCGTCTTCGAATTTGCACGTATTCTGTGCCGCACTATATAATTTCGTGACAATTTCTCGTTTTCCTCTAGAACGAGCATGATGATCGATACAATCTCTATGACGATATGCTTCAGTGATCGCGCTGTATATGAAATTGTCTCAACGACAATGTGTAGTATTAGACCTTATCCGCTTCATAGGTTGACATTTTGTTCCAGGTCATCGGTTTTATTCATGCTTAATGATAATACATATTTTTGAAGAGACAGCATTTTCGAGAATCATTATATCGACAAATTTCTTTATAATTAAACATGATTATACAATACGCTAAATGACTAAATAATTAAAATAATTAAACGATGACAACGGAAATTATCTATTTATCTCTCTCTCTCTCTTTCAATATTCCATAATCAATATAATACATATCATATTATATATAATTATATACTTGCGCTCATATTAAAATTCCATTTGGTTTATATCATTACTATTCTTGTCGGACAGTTAATTTCGTTACCTCGTTCCTCGTCGACGCTGTGCTTTCTCAATTTTCTCATCGCGAGGATTTCCGTTTAGCCATTTGGTCGCGCGGCGTCATCATTAAACTTACTTCTCTTCTGCAGGCACGGCCGATGAGAAACTGTCGCCGGGAGACGGATATTGAAATCGCCATATTTTCGTTCGAAAAAGTTCGAATGCGAATATATCTTTCGCGCGGGGAAAAGTTATCCGTCCGTAAGAGTTTCAGAAATGATACGGTGCCGCATAAAAACTTGGAATTTTCGGATCTGTAATATCTTGTGAAAGACTTCGCGCGTGTTAAGACTCATTCATATCCGAATACGTGTACACGTATATGCGTGTATATGTATATATATAATAGAACGATGGAGCTTTATATACGCCAGAATGTGTTTGCCCTTTTCCTTTTACACGAGGGACGCCAATAACGCACGCAGGCCATAAAACATTTTTACTGCATCAATGAAATCCGTACTCAAAGTAAAAATTTTCGCTTTGTTTTATAACGCGCGCAATTTTTCAATCTCGCAATAAATCACGATTAAATATAACGTCTCTCGATACGAGACTCCTTCCGTTTTCTGGAATATCAAGTGACACAGTCGCGATATCGCCAAGAAATTCATAAAAGATTTCTCTTGCTTGAGAAGTCGGAAAAAAAGAACGGAATGGGCTCGCGCACATAACGGTCATAAATTACGGTTTATGAGTTACATTCCCCTTTTGTTTTTGATTAACGTTTTAAAATGCACCACGCGCGCATCGCTGCGCAAATTGCCGTCAGAAGGGATCAACCGGGAAGTATGCCAAACAGGCCAAGTCGATAAAATTGGACATAAAGAACGTGCCCAGAAGAACGTAAATTCGATTTGGAGAGTCGTATTCCCATTGTCGACACGGCCGTATCGCACTGTCGTGTATGCCATGTGGCACGTTTACCCGAACACAATATTTACGTGTCGCTGGTCTTTGAGAGAACAGTACAATAGTCCGAAGGATTGACCACACGACGTGCCCGCAACGCGAATAAACCCACTCGCGCCTCCAACCAGAATTAATTTGTCCTTTGCCATAATGCACGCTAGATGTGCCGCGCATAATCCACCGGATCTTTCGGCTCGATTGATCTAAAATCACTTTAGTCACTGTAAATGAGATCCAATTCAGAAGTTTCAATATGATTCTTGTATGCATTAAATTAAAATTTCATAACAGATTTTTTTTCAATGGATTATAACATCATTAAGAACTTGAAGGGGGAGTCAATAGTTTACTTGATTTCTTAATGAAGTTGAAGTCGGCTTTTCTTTCGTGGTTAGGTCGAAAGTGATCGATATTTATCACAACTTTCCAATGTTTTATACTACATGTCTTTATACTAAGTACCTGGAAAGAAACTTGTCTCCTCTTTTACTTCCAAACTTATCTTATTAAGTCTCTCGGGCGTTAGAAAGCAATTACTTTTGCCCACTGTATTTTCTAAGATGCGACATTTTAACGAGACACTCCTAACTTTAATTGGAATCGTCTGTTACTCATATTTACCCTTATCCTTATAATACGTATTGCTGGAAAATTGTTTCAATAAACAATAATAATATCGTTAAAGAAAAATAGCGCAAAAAAATATACATTGTATCATTCGACGATGTGTTTTAAGTTCAGTTGGACAAATAAAAGTAAATTAATTATCTGTAATCTATTATAGCAATATTTGATTTTTCAGCATAAATAGTAGTAATTACACCTTAATTAGAGCTGAGCAAATTTTCTGCTTTTTCCGGGCATTCAAAAGGCATTATTGGATGTAAATTCGTGAATTTGCTCGCTGACGGCTCGTATTCGACGAAATCTCTCGCTGTTTGTTTAGTGTCATTTTACATCGCATTAACGGGAAAATAACAGAGGAGTAATAAAGAGAACGCCGGCGCAGATTTTCTTGCGATCCTTTTTTCTTCGCCACGTCTTAATGGAAGACGGACACGCGCGCAAGATTATTTGCGAAACAAACTCAAAGAGCAGGAATCTCATTATGGCATTTCTAAAATAATAGTGGACTAACAGTTTCGTTACTTTTATACAACGCGTCATGTATTCTTCGTGTGGCCTTAATTATTTGTTTAATTATTCTTCTCATCTTTCTCATTATTTTCTTTCGCTTGAGGCAAAGTCTCTTTGCCATTGTCTGTTTATAAATCTCCCTCCCAATCTCACTTTGTAATGCCGTTATTTAAAATAAGAATTAAAATTAAAATTAAAACCATTATTTAAAATTAAATGCCATTATTTAAAATTAGAATTAAAATTAAAATAAAAACGGAGAAAATTTTATATTTCTCATATTGATTAACAAAATTAATTCCTTCGTATTCATAGCGAATAGATATCACTAAATCATCTAATTATAACATTCTTTATATGATAATAGATATTATATAATTGTACAAATGCACATTTATAAAGATTCATCTCGAGCCTCAACATTTTTGTAAAATTTTTTACTTTATTTTATCTCTAGAAAAACACGCCATTAAAGTATATAAGGAGATTATGAGATACCTCTTGTATATATAGTAAACTCATATATATCTTTTTCTGGTTTTATACATACGTAGTAGAATTAAACGCGCGCTTAATGTTCTAATTTGTGAAAAAAGAAAATTGTCTGCGGATGCGCGATAACTTTTCTCTCCGGAACTTATTCCTAGTTAAACGGATTCGCAAGATGACAGGAGCGAAACGCGAGTTTGCTCTGCTTGAATTTTGTACCCCTTATCATGTCACGCTTCGTTACTATCTAGCAAAAGTGGATGAGCCGTAATCTCGTGCTGCAAGAAAGCGAGATTCGCCCCGTTGTAGTGTCTTTGGCATTGCAGGTGTCATAGTGCACAGAGATAATACCAAGGTGTCCGATCTCCTCGCGAAACTTGCTTATTTATCCTCTCATTTCCGACGACAATCGCAGTGTTGAATTCAAGTACCGAATCGGAGTATTATTATTATTATTGTTTGCCTAATATTTTTTATACATTATGCATTATGCAAAATAATATGAGGACGATAAAAGGAAAAGGAAATGCATTACGACGAGAGTTAAGAATAAGGTTTAATGATTTTTTTTTATAAAAACTGAAATCTTCATAGAGCTCTATTATAATATTTTTACTGAAATCCAGACTCTAAAGAATCTCGAGTCTTTGAAAAGGAGCTTTTTATTTCTTATATTTTGCACACCAGTCTCGCTTTTCTTTTCATGAATATCATACGTTATCTGCACCTCATTAGACAGGAAATTTTATCCGACCGTGGCGGAATCTTTTTCACATTATAAATGTCATCATATCCACAGGTGGTACCGACACATGAATGTTCATATTATTATTTTTCCGAGCAGAGAAATATCACTTTAAATACTGTAAATATACTCGTACATTATTACAGATATAAGAGTATTATGTATCTTCATATCTCTAATTATTTATGGAGTAATTATGCAGTATCATTATTATATAGAATATGCACCAATAAGCAAAGATATTTTTACATAACGAATTTTTAAAAGTTTCTGAAAAAATTACGCCGAAAACGAATTTGTAAAAGTTTCTGAAAAAATTAATTATGTTTGCATTATGAAGAAATTAATCTCATTAACAAAATTTAAAAATCTATATTTTCATGTATGTGATTCTAATCGAATGCCGATAAATGAGTGCGAAAATTACAAATATTACATGAAATTATGCATATTTACAAAAAGAATAAGTCACACTGGAAAGTCACACTAATAAATCTTAATAGATTGATTTAAAATCTTCATAGCTAAATCTTCATAGAGTTGAAAAAGGAAATTGTCATTTATACATAATTTCTTACATTAATATTACAGGCGTCATCAGTGGCGGTGTGAGACATCGTCTGAGCGTCGGCTCCGCGTCCGCTCTGAGCTGCGGGGGCGAAAAGTACGTCAGGAGCGGAAGGACTGGCGAAGGCCAAGCCGGGGGTTGCGGCAGGGAGAAGGAGGATGACACCAAGAGCGCGGAGAACGTGTCCAGGGGAGTTTTACCCTCAAGGCAGAGCCTCTTGGACCTCGTCAGCGGTAAATTCATGGGCCGACACACACCTACCCACCACTACTACCACCAGCAGCAGCAGCAGGTTGGTTACCGTCCGCGATCTCACGTGGGTAAAATATTCCTTTTACTACCACACTCGTCGGGAGAAAATGTCCTGGCGAGGACACTTTGCGCGCGCGCATTGGGCGCTCGATATTGGTCTACGAATATCTTTCTCCGCGAATCTGATTTTTAGCGAATAATTTTGCAATTTCATCTACGTTGAGAGAATTGGAGGATTTGACTGGAAAAGATCGCGGAAAGAATATATTTCTTCCACTACACTACTTCTCGCTTTCCATATTTCAACTTTTTTTTGTTACAAAAAGTACAGACTTTTTAATATGTTCTTAAATAGCCATTATTGCACATATTTTCTCTTCTTGAATAAATCTTTTAAATAAAAAATTTCGAGAAAGCATTAAAAAATTGTTACTGAGAGATTTAATTTTAAAATCTAATAAGTAAATTCTATATAAATACTAAATATTTCTATCTTTTATAAAAAAATTCCTGGAAAGACACAATAACTGTGGACAAATTTGTTATATATCCGACGCTGTAAAAAAAATAAGATAGACGAAATGAGAAAGAATAGAGACAGTAAAAAAATGAAAAAAAATAGAGGAAAAATTTGTCTGACTTAGCCTTTATCAGTTTAATATATCAGTCGAGATTATAACAGCAAAGTAACTATATTGTGTCTATTTTCGCGAAAAGCGTTATACACGTATCCGGGCCACGACAGACGCGCTTAATTCAACGAACTATTCGACGTGAAAAAAAATTTGCGAGAACAATCTCGCGAGCGAATAACAACGTTCGCAGTATCCGCTCTGTCCAGTATGCGTGACAACCGCATGGCAGCCATACCTCGATGCTAGCCATGTTGCTCGAATGTTGCATGAATAAACCGGTGCGGAAAATATGTGCTACGGAATTTCCGCGAAATATGAAAAACAACCGAAGCAGTTACCACATATATATATAGAGCTAACAGTTAAATAAAATACGATGGATATATGTATTAATCAACCCGGCATTGTTGAGCATTTTCGCGAAGAACAGCGAAAAATATTTTCCAATGAAAGTAATTATGACAAGATAATTGTACTTGTTGTTAATCTTTTCAGTTCAAAAATAACGTTTTACATTTTTACAATATATTTATGCTGCACATTCACATGCTCGCGAATGTATTCATACCGTATATCTGTGTATGTATAAAAGACAGGGAGAAAAATCTAGACGTAGATCGCGTGCAGCATTTTTATGCGCGCACCATCTGGATCTATATCTACGAGATAACGTCGTGATACTTCGTGCATCCTAATTGGTGCAGGTATATTCTGTGTCGCAGCGATACTTCAGTTCGTCACGTGACTCGCTTCAAGGAGGATACGTGAACCGGGGTGCAAGCGAGCTCGATCTGAGCCGCAAGCCGAGAAGAAGGGACCACCTGAGGGGCAGATTCAAGCTGCCGTATACAGTTGCGCTCACGTCTTCGCGTGACCAATCGCATCTGCACACACCGGCGTCGGTCAATCATCTCAGCAACGCCAGCTGTAACGGCACCGAAACGTAAGTGCTTTATTGGCAAGCAATCACGAACGATCGATAGGGAATATTTCAATTATCAGCGGAATATCAATTATATATATCCTCAATAACTATTCTTTTTCGTATCTCGATATCGAAGAAAACGGATATTGACGGAAAAATTCAATTTGATGCTAATTCCTTCCTTTATGGGAGGCCATTTCCACAATGGAAATTCAAGAAAATGAATGTAACGAAGAAATCTGTATTGAATGAAGGATCATAAATATTCAAGCGACTTCTTGAAGTACTATTGGGTGACGTTTCTCCTGCGTTTTGTTAAAGAACGCTTAATTGTAACGCTAAAGCCTTCTTTAATTAGAAATATCTTCCGGGGATATAGAATCATCGAGAACAATGTAAAATTGCGAGACAGTATTTCCGTAAACAATGGAAACCATTTTTTTTAAATTTAGCGAAACTAAAACAGTATATACAAAATTGTACGCATCTTTTCCGTGAGCATTACTTTCAATACTTTCAATATCGTAATCATTCACATTGGTACGTGAATTTTTACGTACGGTGCAAATAGTAACGAAAAAATGGACAATTACGTAGGGAGATAAAAACAATTAATCGGTGCATATTCACTGAATTATTGTGTTAGAAGATACACGGCGCAGCAACAGCAACAACAACGCGGTAGCAGAGGTTTTCCTGGGCAACCTGGATCAAGGGGTTTTCGCACGGGCGCGCCGAATTGGTCCTTCATCTTCGATCCTGCGGGACGCCTCTGTTATTATTGGTCGATGGTGGTTTCCCTTGCCTTTCTTTACAACTTCTGGGTGATCATCTATAGATTTGCCTTCCAGGAGATCAATGGTTAGTCCATGCGCTCATGATTTATTTCATTTCCCACGTAGGAACATTTCATATTTTATCAGGGTACGTTTCACAAGATCCGGAGAAATTGAGGATTTAAACTTCAAGAGGCATATTAGTATATCTTCTTGCAAAATTTATTGAATCGTGAAAGCGAGATATACTTTACAAATTTAATTTTTATATTGATTATTGTATGTACAGATTTCTGCGAATTCCTATATTAATAAAAAATAAAATGCTTTAAGCACGAAATTATTAAATTACGTTATAATATTCGTGCTTTAATTTATTCATATAAAGGCATTTTTCAATGAATAGCTTTTAATAATACTTTACGTGTTCGAGAATTTTGAGGAATTTTATTAAATTAGATTTTTGTTAAAACGATCGCAATTTTAATATCTCCTTCAATTGAATATCAAAGCAAGCGCTACCTATAATTTATAAAACCATACGTAAAATACGCAAATATTTCGCTTGTGCAGAAGTCGCCCTTTTCCAATCACGAATTTAAAAAGCCAGACTAAAAATAACAGCAATCAATATGGAGATATCAATAACTCTCGATTGATAATTAATTATAAGCGATTGAAAATGGAAAGATTTTATGTTTCGAGAATATATGGAATTTTTACGATTTTAAGAGAGAAAAACATTTTAAAATAGATATATATTTTGATTTTTAGAAAAGAATTATATCAATTGTTTATAATTAAAAATGGATTCCAAATACATATGTTGCTCATATTGAAATGGGCATATTTTGCTTGCGAATACAGGAGAGACTCGTTGGGTGTGGTTCTGCCTGGACTACTTCTCGGATTTTTTATACGTGCTCGACATAATATTTCACATTCGAACGGGATACTTGGAAGACGGTGTGCTGCAAACCGACGCCACGAAATTGAGAAACCACTACACGAACAGCACCACGTTTTACATAGACATCCTGTGCCTGCTGCCCCTCGACTTTTTATACTTATCTATAGGATTTAACAGTATGCTGCGAAGTTTTAGACTCGTAAAAATTTACCGGTAATTACCATTTTATCCTCTAATAATTATACTAACAATAAGTTATTTTAATTAAACGATAAATTTAAATAGCAAATTTATCGTGATGCTTGATGTGTGCAATATATTTTATTCATATTATATTTATATATTCATATATAATACCAATGTTTTTTTATAACATAAAAATTACAAGTTTGATGCATGATGCATGATATTAAAAAAAATTGATTTTCGGCGAGAAATTAAGTGGAGCGCAACGAATTGAAACATTTTTTTAAAAACTGTATCTTTTATATTATGAGAGATTCTCGTGCGAAAAATTTATCTTCAATGATTACGATATATCGATCGGTAAGAAACTGAGCGAGGTCATTATTGCGATTTTTTGCTTCGTCTCGATAATTGATTTCGGCTTTATAAGTATGAAGATTTAGATTTTTCTGCTCGAGAAAAACACCGGGGCTTGTTTAAATTAAGAGATTGAAAAGAATTACGAAAGTTCGTGCGTAAGGTCACAATAACGCGATATTGACCTTTCGCAGGTGAATGTTTACATTCCGATAGAAACATCGACGATCTAGAAATACCGCAAAAAATACACAATGAATAAATGTTGTGTCTCAATGTTATCGCTCCTCAGTAGTGGGAGAAAGTACAGAGAGAATAGTACTGCTATTCCTCTACCTCCATACGAGAATTACGTATCGATGACTGATCGGCAAACTCCGTCAAATCTGATTTTGTCGAAAACAATGACTCACCAGTCGGAAGGTCCGTGTTCTCATTTATTCCTAAATGAGTGTCTCATCTAACATCGACATGGACGCGATGTATGTATTAAGCAAACAGAACTCGGAATCAGATGACCGTATTTAGTGATGAATGATGGCAGTAGAACATGGAGCGTCTAATATGAACGTATTTACGAAGAATAATGATACAAAGAATCGGAAGAAAGGAAGGAAGAGAGAAAATTACGACAAATAACATCGAAGATTTAATAACATAATTTTTTCTTTAATAGTACAAATCTACTTTCGATAATTTCACTTAATCTTTATCTTATTGAGAGAATATTAGATTAAGAGTCGTCAAGATTCAAAGTGTTCAATAAAATTAAAAAGTGTTCAATAAAATTAAAAATAGTGAAACTTGTGCACTGTTTGCTTCGGAGTTTTTCTCTCTTTTAGTGTTCTTCCATAGTTTATGCTATAAATCATTGATCGCAATCGCTCCAATCGCTGCATTGCGCTACGCCATAAATCGTGAAATTGCGCGAGTCGTGCGTCAATACGACGGAAACTGGCTGCACTCGAAACTAATAAATAACGAAAAAAAAGGATAGAGATACATATTTTAACCTGTTGATGACTGGATTCTTTGTCATATGAAGATTAAAAATGAACGAATATTCGTTGCGCGCTGCTCCACGTGATTTTCGCCCCGCGAAACATTCTAAAAGGAATTTCGAAATTTATGGCACCGCGACCACTGGAATTTTCACCAATTTTCTCAACCCGCTTTCTCCGTCTCTGATGCAGGTTCTGGGCGTTCATGGACAGAACCGAGCGACACACAAACTACCCGAATTTGTTTCGCTCCACCTCCTTGATACATTATTTACTGGTGATCTTTCACTGGAACGGGTGCCTCTATCACATTATTTATAAGAACAACGGCTTCGGCAGTAAAAACTGGGTGTTCAGCGACTCCGAGACGGCAGACGTTGTCAAGCAATATCTGCAGAGCTACTACTGGTGTACTCTTGCCCTAACAACCATCGGTGATCTGCCCAGGTATTTATTTATTTATTTACACGTCCCCATGTTGCACATACAAATTTGAATGAGAATTTACTATATTATACATTGATATAATCAGATCAATTTTTTGCATGGAGGACTTCATGAAAATGATGCTCGCATATGTAAATGTTTAATATTTAAGAGAGTTTTTATTTAAATAAATTTCTTTTATTCATACTGTTCTAACGCAACAAAATTTATTCCATTGCGTATAAAATATACAACATGATATATATTAAATTTGTTTTGTGTTATACATGGAAACAAAGAAAATTTCGTTATGTTAGCCATTTCGGAAAACATATTGTGCATCAATTTGACATGATAATCTTTCACCGGTTTTTATATAAATCCCAGAATACTTTTTTCCCGAAAAAACATTGTTGAAACCCACGGGAGTAACTTTTACGCTATTATGATATGCATTATTCTCAAATCGATATGCATATGGATTGTAGTAAAAATGTATGAAGCACACAGCCACGAGACTGTTAGAGTAACAATATTTTTTTTCCTTTTTCATGCCATATTTCTACTCCTAGCGTGAGGTTCCCACGAAAATTTAGAATCATTAAATATAACATTTCGCGCATATTTTCATATTCATGCAATGATGTTTCGAGTTCAGTTTTTAATAAAAAATAATAGACAAATCATCGCTGTTTCGTTTTAACGCTGCAATACCTATACCTCGTAAAGTATATTGCTTTTACAAAAATCGATGACAATATGTATCCGAAAAATATCTGTCCATTGAAAATAAAAAAAAAACAGATCAAATCGCTAGAGAAATAAACAATTAAACGGTAATCAAATTGATGAATTTTTGAATTTTATTTAGATTCTGCAATACAACATTGAAAATATATCATAATTCTTTTTAATAACATTTATTTTAATTTTACATACGTCATTTCTAAATTTGTCATATTTTATATTCGCAGTCTGCGATGTATTTTAATTGTGTCGATATTTATTGGATATTTATACATATTTATTGGTGTAACATAAAAACTCAAACTCATTATATCTTATATTAATTGGTCGGAATCAAACAAGAATCGTACAAACAGGAAAATAAAAAACATCGATATGATACGGGTAAATAAATTGATATTTTTGTTGGCGCACTTAAAATAAAGGAACATTAAAATTATTTACATAAAAGAGAAAGAAAATATTGGCGACATTTCAATGTATTTAATGAACAAAAAATTTCCATTTGTACACAGCTCATTTCGTACTTGCTTCGAAACAACAATATCTACGGTGAATAAATAATTAATGAAGATATAAAATGCCATTTTATTGCATTGTTAAAGGAATGTATTATTCCACTCTATGCTCACAATAGTATATATTTCAAAATATTTGCGTAAAATGATAATTTTACTTAAAAATTATTTGTGTGAAAATGATAAAGACGCACACATTAATCGGAAAACGTTAATAAATATTCTGTTTTCCTTTTCAGACCGAGGAGTAAAGGCGAATATCTCTTTGTGATTGGTCAGCTGTTCTTCGGTCTGCTGTTATTTGCAACGGTGCTGGGTCACGTCGCAAACATCGTCACTTCCGTCAGCGCGGCGCGGAAGGAGTTTCAGGGTGAGTCAGGTTCAAATTCCTCGCATGCACTTTTTACATTAGCTCACTAGCCGTACTTTAACTTTCCGAGCGAAATTTATTCGAAAGCAAAGTAAGATCTGCCATCGTTTCTTTTTTTAAGTCACAAGCAACGTCGAATTTTATTAGAACGCTCTTCGAATTATGATCGTATTTTATGAAATTTTATTCCGACTCTGCCGTATCGAAGAAGCAAAAAAAAATTCACGAAGATATTCATCTCCTGAGTCGTGACTGTAAATAATTCGGCACACGTGATACGCTTTACGGCGCGCGAAACGAGATTTATGATTTTTATTCGACACGTAAAACAAGTCGCACGATAGTTCGCTAAGTTCATATGCTACGTTTGCACGACGGCTGCAATTACTCATCTAAAATTTATATATATAAATATTTAACGAATTAATCGAATGATTGCATTCGGTTTGCCATTTTATTCGCCGCGGTACAGTGAATATCGCGCGAGAGAGGCAGGCAACATGCGCGGCATCGTGCACGATTTCGACCGTCCGCGCGCAGACGAAAAACGGCCAATTTATATCTCGACTTCCGGACGCGATAGCGATTTCGTTCTTTTTGCATAAAATTCTACACTATTTCGCGGCACTACCGTTTAAATTTCGTCCCGATCGCCCGAGGAGCGGTTGACTTACAGTGAATATCCAAAATCTGCTTCTTGGACTCACGCTTAAATGTAATATTTATATATATCGAATAAAAAAGCGAGTCGGAACGCAATCAGTCGAATAGTGAATTAAATATTTATATATACTAAACGAAAAGATGAATCGGAATGCATTCGTTCGATTAATTTGTTAAATATTTATAATCTAAAGTACTCGAATAAGATGAATTAGAGCGCAAAATATGACTGGCATTATTACGCGTCTTAATCCAGTTTCTATTTCTAAATTCTACGAGCTAACTTGATACGAGAGGTACGGCTAGAATTGCATGAAAAACAATTCCTATAGAAAAACAATACCTATGTCATTATATTAAATATAAATTAAGAGATGAATTTAAAAATTTATGTGAAAATTTTTCACTTATATTTATAAAACAAAAATATTACATCTTTAACATAAATGTGAAACAATAACGTAAATAACTTAAGTTTTCGCAATTGAAATTTTCATATAATACAGTTTTTTTTTCTTTTGAAATATATATATATATGTGTGTAGCTTCATCCCTTCGCCGCGCGTTTCAAGTCGTTCGAATTATTTTGCCTTGGCAAATCGCCACCGAAGGACTTCGTCCTTTCGGCCCTTCCGTGCCGTTCCATCGCGCGAAGGGTCATGATAAATAACTGCATTTTCAATTAACGCTGAGCAGGAAATGGACACTTCGTTCCGCGTCCGAGACCCGTTTTAATTGCGTCGCATCGCAGTTTCGCTGCGTTTGCATTTCCGCCCTTATACCTTCGTTATTTCACGACTCACCGGAGCACTCTCTGCGCGCTGCTTTCCGCAAAATGCGCGATTCGGTGCATTTTTGGCATAAAAGCGAATGCACGCTCGGTGTAATGACGATCCGAGAGTATTCGCGTTTTTTTTTCATTTGTATCTTTTAATCTGTTGACATTTTTTGCGCGCTGTCCTTCCTTCATATTTTTCTCATGATTCTTTCTTAAATGTATAAGCGTAAACATGCTTGTTTCTATTTAGACATGATTGTAATAATTAATTTATTAGAAAATGATTACTACACTGGAATTGTGAATATTGCAATTCTATTCTCTCAGATATTATTATATAGTATATTAGATTGTATTTGTGTTATATTGCAGTATATTTATTTTTTGTACAAATTAAAATGCAAAAAAATGAGACGTCAGATTGATGATTGATTTATAAATATAAATCAATGGAACATATATATTATTCGCAAATTAATAATGAAAGCCCCAATCGATTATTTATTGTGAAATTTACGATATAACTGAACGTATGCAGGTAGCGTATAAATGGCGTTCGCAGAGTTAACGTTAATCGAATTTAAGCGAGCACTCCCTCGCGATTAACGCGATTAACGCGTCTTTCGTTCCGCTAAGCACGACACATCCTGTTACAACAATAACCGTCGAGGCTTGTAACTTCCTCTGGCATTTTATCACACGTCAGAACTGTGAAAGATATAGCCGAGATATTCTTTCATTGTATAGATAAGCTTCTTACAACGTTGCTCGATTACCGTAAAGCATAGGATATAATATTTAGTAAGATATTTTGCAATATCATTTTATGGCTTTATATCTTCTATTTAATCGTGAGAAAATGAGCGTCCATCTGGATTTTTCATCCTCAAAGTAAAACATTTAATGAAACTGAATTTGGTATATTAATTAATATTTATTTTATTTATTATATACTACTAAAGTATACTAATGCATTTCATATTTATGTTTTTTTCTAATAGATTCGGTTTAAAATAATACTTTGTTTTTTTTCCTTTTTTTTTGAGAAAATATCACTTCTTTTACATAGATATCTGGATAACGAATGATAAAAGTCATGAAAATAGTATTTGTCACAATTATGGCTTCTTCATCTTACTTTAAGAAGATTACTTTTTTCGAAGATTTGTAAATCTCTTGATCCTCGTACAGCAAGGAAAACGCGATCGATGTTTAATAACGGGATTTCTTTGGGATTTTTTGAGAAGGCGGATTACGCGCTTACGTTATTTCTTTATCTATGAAAAATTTATTTAATATAATAATGTAACAATTTAATGAAAATTTACGATTGAAAAATATAATATGATATATATTTATTTCTCTTTAATATAGATATATCGATGTTAAATATAATAATAGCCTTAATACGAAAAATTATATTACTACAGAATGAAAACATATATAAAATCTCATTGCAACATCATGATTTCTTATTTCTTAATATTACAAAATTTAATAGAAATGTCAATCGTCGTCTCATAAAGAAAAATTAAATTTTTCTATGCGAGAGAAAAAGTAAATTGCATTTTCATTGTACTTTGAATCATCGTGGTGACAAAGTGGATAAAATGCCGTGAAACAATAACAATTTGTAAAGAAATTGTATATTCGATAATTACCTGTCTATCGATAAATATTATTACTTATTGCAACGTTGTTTATTATTGCAACGTCAATAACTCACAGTGTTGCATTACAAATAAGTAAAGGCAAGCGAAAAGAAAACATATAACTTTCTGTGTAATCAATGTTGCTAAATACACAAAAACACCTTTTATTATTGATTAAAAGTACTAAAGTTGATAAATATATAAAAAACATCTTTTATTATTGATTAAAAATACTTAATAAAACTGTAACAATCATAGACATAAATACATATCTAATATCTTTAAAAAATTGTTATTTAACATGATACAAATTTAAATTAAATTGTTACAGATTTACATGTATAATTTGACCTATTTACATTGCCGATAAGATGTCAATATTGATTAATTTCCCGTACGATCCTAATACGAAGTTAATTTAATAATTTCGCGAGAGATCCATATGTATGTTGATTTTCAACTGACAAGTAATTATTATTTTGCTTCTCTAAATTTTTAAATTCATTGGATATAAAATTTTTAATAGTTTTGTCAAACGGATTATTTTTCAATTGCATGCTTATACGATAATTTTATTTTCTTAATATTGTCTCATATAGAGTAAGTCTAAAAACGAAAAATAGGATTTCCTTAAAAAGCTTTAAGAAAAAAGGGAAATATACGTAAATTATATTCTTAAGACTTTAAATTTATGCCAAGTCAAATCGATCAACGTAATTGACAGTGGTATTGAATTTACCGATATTCATGTATTAATCTAACAATTTTTCTTATATGGACCACATATTCTCGTCAAAAGAAAGTTACTAATACCTAGGAAAAAGATCATAAAAATAGTTTTCTGGTATATAAGAAATAATGGAAATGTACGATAAAAGTTTAGAAACTACTTTTATGAGTTCAATCGGTGCATTAAAACATGAAGAAGGAAATTGCAATCGAATTTCAAAAGAGGAGGATGTAATTTGGCATAAATTTCTGACAAATCACTATAAAAATAAATAAAGCGATATTAGCATTATCAAATCTTCTTACGTACGTCCTCCCTACGTATTCTTGCACTTTAGAAGGGATTTTTATTTGCGATGTAAAACGAAATTGCGAAATGAAAATTAATATTATAAATTACATTTATAGTATTCCCCACAGAATTCACGGAAATATAAAATACAGGACGATGGGATGGTAATGACCCCCGGCGCTCTTTACTTTTACAATTTTCCCCGCGGAATTAAACTGCTTCCGGCGGGAACGTCGGTGATTAAATATGAAACGCAATAGAATTTCTTCTAATTTCGCACTCGCATTCGCCTTTAGCTACGCGATATCTCGTTATGCACAGCAAATCGTTATTGTCTTGGCGCACTTGCTGTATAATAATTGTAGATTTATTAGATTGCCTATAAAATAGAAACAAAACAAATTATTCGGTCCGTAAAAAAAAAATAAAAACACATTAATAATATGCAATAAAAATATATAACATATTTATGTGGTAAGATATTATCAAAACAGCCTGTTAATAAATAGATATGCGTAAAATTAAATTAATTCTCGCTATATGGCATACAGTATTCTTAACGAAGAAGAAGTGACGTGCTTCGTGAGTGAGAAAGAGCTTGCGAAAATAATTCATCAAGCTCTATTTACAGCGCCGACGGTGTAAATGCGCTGTCAACAATTTATCTCTGAAAGCAGCTACGGTTATTCGAAAAGTTTTCTAATTTGCCAAAACTACGACAGAATGTATTTGCCACGCTTCTCTTTACAATTGGCCATCATTAAGCGGTTATACGTCGGTGAGTTCACAAAAGTTTACGGATACTCGCGACGATTTAGATACTGCCTGCACGAATATTGTCAATCCCTACTGACTATCAAAACTCTCGTGATTTTAGCCGACCATG